TGTGTGTGTAGGAGAAACTACAGTGGCTATGAAATTTGTTTAAGGCCCTATCTACAGCCAGTGTTTGGTCTGTCCATTATGGGCTGCTGTAGAAACATGGTAGTTCAATATGGCGGACTCCATGGAAGTAGATTCCTTCAGTATTCAGGTGACCATACACAAATGAAAACATACCTATGAATATTATATTACATTTCTGCCAATAGATCCTCCGGAATGTTATACACAATGGACCTTTTTAAACAGCTAAATATGTTCTGTAAGTGACCTAATATGGGGCCTAACAAGTTCAGGCTGCAAGCTCAAAAATGATCATCCTTACCAGTCGAAAACCCTGGAAAATTTGGGTTACCTTTCTCAGAGGAAGCTTCGTGATCATTGTATTAATGAATAACCTTTAGTGTTGCATGTAAATTACACTCTATTCCTGACAGTGATTGGTTCCAGGTTATTGCTCCAGGCTATAACATTCATACTCCATCACTGCAGCTCTGTTAAACATGACGAGAGTGGAAGGTCTTTTAACAGATTCAATGTGATTACACACTATAACATGAACTGACTGTATCTTAATGACATTAGGGTTTGTAATGTAAAATGTAGAATGCTACACTGCAGGTAATCTATCTCTGAAAATCCTCTTTAGCCTCTGCGGTCACTTTCACAAATCACTTTTAACTTTCCCAATGTTCATGTAGTATAAACAGCCGCTGATGACATGCATGCAGTTTCTCGTGCTTTGTTTGATACCGACAAAACAAACCTTGTTTTCCAGTGATCGTGAAAAGATGATTTTGTGACCACAACAAAGGCTTTTTTTGCAGCTTGTCAAGATTACAGAATTAGACTTTTGTCTTCATGATGAAGTAAAATCCTTTGCTGAGCCTTTACTCATTCATTCAGATCAGAAAAAACACATTCACTTGTGATCTCTCTGTAACAATGCTCAATTTTATTTTTGTTTTGTCTGTTCTTCCGAATAGACCAAATGTAAATCTATTTTTTCCCATGCCCACAGAACAGGCTACGTCATGTCTTGAAATTAATTTTTGATTGCATATTGGTACATGAAAGAACCAGTGTGTAAGATTTAGCTGCATCTAATGGACTATGGTGGCTGTGAAACTTGCAAAAAACACAAAAGCCCCTATAGAGGCAGTGTTTGGTATGTCAGTGAAAAACAAACTGCTCATCCTAAGGTAACGAAAACAATGATTCTTATTTTCAGGTCATTATACATTAATGGAAACATACATATGAATATATATTCAATTTCCTGCCAATAGATCCATTATTCATTGTGTTTTTTTTTTAAATGTCACCTCGTACAAAAGTAAGCCACGAATGTGCGTGCATGTCTTGGGAGGATGTGTGTGCATACGCTTGTGCCCGCTCTGTTTATGTGTGTCCCCTGTGCACCCAGGTGATATCGCTGTGTTTCAGACAGTCTTTAAATTCGAGTAGCTCCTCTGGAAAGAAAGAGGGAGAGAAAGAAGAGAGGGAGAGAGAGAGAGGAGGCTTCATGGCTGGTTTAGTGTTTACATCCTCCCCTCTTCCTCTGTTCTCTCATTTTCTTCCACTCCTTCCCCACGACCCAGTCTCCTCTATTTCCTTCCTCCCCTCTAATATAAAGAATTATCTTATCTTCCCTTCAGACGTCACAAGACACATTATCTCTGTCTCTCTCTTTCTTTTTTTTTGTCTCTTAATAGAATAAGAAATCACCTCTCTATAATCACTTGCCCAGACAGGTTTGATGGTTCAATAAGATTATTGACAAGTCTCTGCTTGAGAGCAAGTGGATAGTCGATGAGAAAATGTGTCCAAACTCAGTCTGAAGCTTAAGTCATGCAGTCTGCTACTCTGCTGTCTCCCCCTCTCTCCGTCACTCTCTCTGTCCCCCCTCTCTCCAGATATTTGTGATTGATGCCCTGGGACGTAATTATTGAACAGCAAATCCCACTCCAATTTATGGCATTAAGGACATAAAACGGCCACTTCAATTACTCCCCAGGCCAGAGTATGGCTGAATTAGGAAAAGGAGAGCAAATCTGATGAGGCTGTCTGAAAATACTCCATCACCCGGCGAGAATATTAAAGACATGAATCTGAGCGACACTCTCTGAGAGTAAAACACTTTGATGTATATGCGGTATGAATGAAAAGAAATGCAGAGAAAGTTACTGCTTTGCTGGAAAGTTGAGCTCAGATATGTGTGTAAAGGAAGTCAGTGTCTTTGGTGGATGTTTGACATTTGAACAGCATCAAGATGTAAACGCTTGGTTATCAATGTGTGCTGAGACCCGCTGCTTTCCAGAGAGAGTTCTAAACTGCATACACCCTGTTCTTTTTAGTCTAAACACTGTTGCTATCCTGTCAGAGATTAGTGGGTCAGTGCTGGGTTAGGACCATAATCACAGTAGAAATTCAGAACTACTGGATATGCCCACTGCAAAGTGCGATGCTGAGTAAAGAAGGTGTGGTGCTTTCTAGAAGCAACATAGGTGGTCGCCTATAAGGCAGAGGTTCCCAAACCTTTTCATGTCGAGGACTACCACAATAAATTCACATTAGACTATAGAACCCCAGTTTGAGAGGATTTTGTCTTAAGTAATATCCTCTGAGTACTCTTTTTACTTTTAGGTTTCAAGATTATAAAGTCTTTATAGCCAATTGATTAAACTGGGATCACTATAAGTTGCAATCAATAAAAATAGCCAACCATATTTAAAAATTAAAGTTAAAATATTATATTCCTCCTTTTGCTAGGGACCCCAGTCTGGGCACTACCCAAAATTGCACCCTGAAAGTGTTCATCAGAGTCTACCTGAAACCTGTGTATTGCTCTGTGGATCAGTGCCACTCAACCAGTTACAGTAGCTTCAGCAACGTTGGGCACCAGGGGAAGCTTGCATAATGCACCGAATGTGCTCTGTCTGGCCCTAAGTAAGGAGACATACAGTACATGTGCCATGACCAGAAAGAAAATAGTTCAGTCTAGGTTGGCATTGAAATGGTGAATACAGCACTAGCCTCTCAGAATTTCAGCTCCCAGCTCACTGCATGGCTGCACATGTACACCTTTCTTCAACTTTGTATGGCATCAGTAACCAAGATGACCATAGTTCCAAAGATATTTTCCACAACACATGAGTTTCCCCAAAAACATCCCACACCCATTTGCATTTCTGAAACACATCAGGGGAGGTTGTGCTTCCTGTCAAAATGTTGCAACTGTACACACCCTGAAGGAATAATAGTGGCTCCTGAATAATATAGTTTTATATAAAGAGCAGAGCACTTATACAGTGTAGAGCTGCGCACCCATAGCAGGGGATGGAGGAATGATGGAGTGGTTATTATCAGTGAGCTTGAAACTGAGCTGTAAGATAAAGGCCCCTCCCAAAGCATTTAGTTCATGGTGATATACTGTTTGATAGAGGGGATCAACTGAGGACAGCCAAAAACACATTACATAGTAGACAGACAGATGAGAGCAGGAGGAGGGGAAAATGAAACACTGTTTGTCTCTTGCCTTTCTTTCCAAGAGAACTCACTTGCATGCTTCCCCATTTTTTTTAATTCTCTCTCCAAAGTATATTCTTTCACTCCATCTCTCCATCTCTCCCTGTCTCAGACATATCCTCTATTTGTCTTCATCCTCCAGCTTCCACTTATTTTATCTCCTCTTTCACACTCTTAACCCAAACCACGGCCGGCAGAGAAGCAGGATGAATAATGAGTGGACAAGGGAATTTTGGCCCACTCCAGCAAAAAGACCAGAGACAAAGACAAACAGCAGGGCCATGTGAATTAAAGATGACAGGAGTCCTGCTGCTCCTGCCTGGGCAGGCTAGCCGGACACTGGATAGAGTTCAGTAGCTGAACACAAGAGAATAGTTTGAAACTCAGGAGCATGTAGAGAGAAAAACAATGATAGTAGCAGATGGATTTGTTTACTTTTGGAAGGTGCTGCCATCCTATTTCCAAGAATGAGCATTGACATGCAAAGAAATGCTTGGATGAACAAGCTAAACAAATGTCCTACAACCTTATAACCCTATAAGGTCCTCACAAGGCAGTGAACACACACACACACACACACACACACCAAAGATGTCCTTACAACCCACAAGGTCCTCACAAGGCATGGAGAACTCGGTTACAACAATATTAAAAAAAAACACATACACATTGCAGTGTTAAGTTTCACAAAACTTAGCTTTTTCCTCAGACACGGGTGCCAGGAATCGATACAC